TCCCAGCCGCTCCCGGAGCCCCGGAGTCTCTTTCCTCGGGGCCGGCCTCCCCGCTGCGAGAACACGGCAGCTGCCCCCTTCCCTTCACGAGGGTGGGCTGGGAGGGGAGGTGCTCGCCTTGGGAGCCCCAGGCAGATTTTTTTTTTAACGTTTGATTTTTTTATTTGTTTGTGCACACAGAAGTGGGGTGCAGGCCAGAGGTGTGGTGTGGGAGGACTCCCCAGAGACAGAGTGGGGGGCAGAACAGGCGGATCCCCCGAACTCACTGCCGAGGGGAGCAGCGGGGAGACAGGAGGGGTCTGGCGCACCCTGTGGTCACTCCCTGGCCGGGGATCAAGTTTCCCCGGGAAGCCCCAGATTCAGTTTTTCATGCCACGGGCGTTGTTGGCTAGAGCAGTTTTCCAGTGTAGATAAGCGGCCTGTTTCAGCGAGGTCCGCTGGAGATGGTCGCCAGGTCAGGACGAGACAGAACAGCCTCGCTGGGAGACAGCGGGCTCGCTAAGATCTGAGGGAGTCAGTGAGCCCAGGCCTCCGCACCCCGTTCCCCGGCGGGCGTGAGCAGCCCCCGGGAAGTGCGTTGCGTGGCAGCCGGGCTTGCAGAACCGCCCGTCCACTCCAGGTGACCCCGTCTGTCCCCGTGTCGTGCGCAGCGGCCGGCCCAGCCTGCCTGCACCCCGCAGACGGTAACGATCGGGCCCAGACCCCTCGGGGTGCGCGTGAGCCGCTCTGCTTCGCAGCCGCGCCCGGACCGACGGGTGTCAGGATTTTGTTGTTATTTTACCGAAGGAGAAAATGCTGTGTGATTTCCCCACTAAATGGTCTCAGTGGGGACCAATTTCCTGCCCTACAACCTGCTGCTTCAGCCAATACAATCAGAGGAGACGCTGCCTGGCCCCTGCAGAAGGGTCACACGGAGGGATCCGAGGCGCAGTCCGGCCGCGCCTGGCGCCGGGCCGAGCGCCCCCCGCGGGCATGGGGAGCGCGCACTCCAGAAGCGGGGCCAGAAGCGGGGCTCTCCACGGCCGCCCCGAGCTGGCTTTCTACGGCTCTTTCCCCCGGAAATGGAGCGAGAACGTCTTTCTGGACAACGAGCTGCTGACCTCCAAGATCCTGTCCGTGCTGCGGCCGCAGCCGGAGCGGGGCCGCTTCCCCGCCCACTTCCTCAGCACCAACTCCGTCTTCGCCTCCGTTGCAGCGTCCCTGAAGGAGCACCCGAGGGCCACCCCCTTGCCCGATGGCAGCCCGGCCCTGCCCAGGAATGTCGGCATGACTGTGTCCCAGAAGGCGGCTCTGCAGACAGCGCCCAGCCCGGCGGGAGCGGGGACTCGACCCGGGTGAGTGGGGGTCCCCTCCGCGGCCGCAGCTGAAGGAGGGAGTGGGGCGGCATCAGGCCTCCGGAAGGAGACCCCCCCGGTCGAGTGAGTGCCGTGAGCCCCAAGCCAGGCAGTGACGTCCCCGTTAGCACCTGCTTTGAAGACCCTCTCCCCCCCCCCGCTCAGTGACGTGTTCTGGGCGCGTGGCCCACCCCGGGGCCCGTTTGCCTGCAGGTCTCCGTGCCGGATGATGCTGGGAGCCCGCGGGGCAGCGGGGCGGGGCTCTGTGGAGTATGCCTTCGCCTGGCTCCCCGGGAACGTGGGCTGGCTCCCCTAATACGGCACTCGGCGGTGTCGGTAGAAAGCCCGATGCTTAAGTAAGACGTTCCTGAGGCCTCGTACAAGTCAGGGCGGGAGAAGCCGATCCTCCTTCCTCGGAGGGTCTCCCCCCGCCCTCTGCTGTCGGGTCGCATCTGTCTGGCTCTCGCTAGAAAAATCCAGCGGGCTCCAGCGACCAGTGAAAGAGGGGGACAGCTAGGGCCCCTGGAATGCCCGAGGGAGGTGGTGAGCGTGGCCGGGCCGGGTCCTGAGGATGCACAGGCAGAGCCTGCGTGTCTCCGGCCATCACCCGACGAGGCTGGGGCTCATGTTGCGACCTGGGAAGTTCCACCGGAGTGCTGAGCCAGGTTGCGTGGCGAGAGGGAGTGTTTGACTCCGTTTTTGGAGATGATTGCCTCTCTTTTTATTTAGACCAGTCACAGGAGAGATGGATGAAGCCGATTCTGTGTCTCTGAAGTTTAAGCAGGCAGCTGATGACTCTCTCTGGCCGACATCTTCAAATGCTGAGTCCATTTTTGTGGAAGGTACAGCCCCCTGCATTCTCCAGGGCGTCCAGGGCTCTGTCCGGGGAAGGGCAGGGGCCCCGCCGGCCTGTCCTCGGGACGCGGAGCAGTGACCCGAGCAGCAGCCTTGGCTCTCCCCTAGACCCCTACACCGCCTCGCTGAGGAGCGAGATCGAGTCGGACGCCCGCGAGTTCGAGGCGGAGTCCTGGAGCCTGTCCGTGGACGCCGAGTACGCAAAGCAGCAGCCGCGGGAGGTGGTGAAGAGGCAGGACGTGCTTTATGGTGAGACGTCCCCACCGCCGCGCT